TAATCAGAAAAAGCTCACGATTGTATTGGAAGAAGTCCCATTAAAAAATAGTGAGAAATGAAGAAGTTACACATTGCGTTATTATCTATTCTCCATTTGTCTGGCACCATGCTCGCACGTCTAATGTGAATACTTTCAATCGAACACGCTGCTAGCACGACCGAGCCTGGCATATAGATTTGCATCGACCCTTATTCTTCAGGAAAATGAATCTTATTATCGGTTAATCATTTAACATTGTTAGATCGGTCCTTTTATCTTGCAGAAATGACAATGAGGTTTTCAATATAATCCACATTCAGAGCTAATAATTGGGTCATCGTATAATCTCCGAGAAGAATTTTACCATTGTCTCAAATAATTATTTCAAATAATTCTAAAATAAAATGTCACGTTATTCAAAATAATATTTCAAATAACGTTACTTTAATTGTAAGATAACATGTTATTTTAAATAATATTTTACGTAATGTCATCTCACATATGCCCAGGTCGATTTCATGCAAAAGTTCAAAGCGAAAAATGGAACGTTTTATTGACATGACCACCGTTTTGCTAGAAATCAATATTCGAAAAAAGGCGCGTACAATATAAAATTACTTGCAACATTCTTTAAAACTCGAAAGTTTCAATGTTCTATAATAGAAAAATACAGATTAAAGTTGTATAAAATTATCGAACCAACAATGTCTCAAAGACTATTTTACGCAAACGAAAATGAGGAGATGAACCTTTGTATTAAAAATAAACTTAGCGTATCAACTGCAGGCCATAAACACAGAGATTCACGGTCGAGTTACGAGAACGATAATAATTCATCAGCAATTATTTGGTTCGTCGCAAAAGGCCTTTTATGTTCAACAGGGGTTAGGTCGTTGTAGTAAGGGAAGCAAAATTAATTAGTTGCTCAAGGTCATATCCGTGATTATGAGCTACGTCAGACATGACCTACCCTCACGGAACACGGGCTCACCCCTCTATTGGACAGAAATGGGGTCGTGAGAGTTTTGAAGAATGGGGCAGAGGCAAAATGGTGGATGGAAAGGATATTGTGGTCAAAGCCCTCGCTTCGGCCTAGAGTGGTCAGTTAATTTTGTACCGATTGTAAGAATTATTACGAACAAAGGGACTCATAATCTGGTGTAAGCAGAATATGGAACAAAGGAATTTACTGAATGAAATATAGCTATCGTGCCTGGCAAAAGTATGGGGTTGAAACGCATGATCAATGAAAGTGGATATTCCTCTATGACGACATAATAAAATTCACGTACACATCACTCCAAAAGTATTAGAATACTCGTTGAAAATTAAATCAATTCGAAAAACCTACAGGAAATTGTTATAACTTCTTCAATTTACTTCAAAGTTAATTCTATTAAACTGTAACAAATACACATATCTCTGTATATTTACATTATAATAAAGATAACGTAAATTTTATGAAAGAAAATTATATTTTCTTTCCGTCGATATATCCACCTCATTTTTTAATTACTTCTTGGACTAATTTCGACATGCGTTTAATTAGTTCGTCTACTAGTATTTCTGATCCTAGTTGGTTGCATGCATGCTGTAGCATGTTCTACATATTTCGAAAACATATCAAACGAAGCTCAGCATACGTTTTCACGGAGTAAAATGCAATAAATGGGTAAATTAATTTCATAATTGACAAACACTTACAACTTAATATGTACTTTCAACAATACGATGCCATAACACACTTAATATTAAACATAAAACATTACCTAAACAGAATGAAAAATTACAATTTATATTATACTAAACCAGCAGGTGTCCCGATACTTTTAAAGGGAGCAGTCGCCATATATGTATAGCTTTTTCATAATAATCATTTATATTTTTGTATTTGTTCGTTTCATTTCGTCTTGGCCACGAAATATTCAAAACATTTTAAAATTTACGAATACATTTTGGTCTTCACTAATATTGCAATTCAAACAGCAAATTGCAACTACTTTTTACGCATAACGAGTATACTCGTTATAACGTAATATATTGCTATATCTTTATGTCGAATACATGCGTCAAAAACAGCTAAATAATTAACAGTCCTATTTTTGCACTTTCAGCTGCGACTACATATTTTTTTGCAAATGAGTAAGTATTGCTTTGAAGAAGATATAAAATGATAGAATGTTGACAATAATTAGTTTGTCTAAATAACGTTTCGTAAAAGATTGCATTGGTACAGATTTTGTGAATGAAAAATTGTTAATTTTGAAAGTACCATAATTATTAGCAATCTCGTGATCCCCGAGAGGGGGCATCCAAATGCAAATAGATTAAGCTAAATCGTTATTTGATTATGCGTTTTGCAATCCTGAAGTGCATATTCTGCTTTATATTGATTTGTGGTTTTTGCTTTCATTGTTTCGCTATGCCCACTTGACATTGCCGATTGGACGGCGGATTTTATAAATTTATGACAAAAGTGTCTACGTGAAGTGAAAAACTGTGGAGAAATTAGATAAATTTAAGGATGTTGTTACATTATTTTCAACGTACTGCAATTATTGATGATATAAAGATGTAATGAATGTATTCAGGGTGAGACAGAGCATCGTAGGGGAATTGTGGTCTTCCAACGTTACTTGAAGCATTTTGACGAGCTCTTGCAAAGGAAGATTTTAATCGAGGAGTATCAAAAAATATATAGTTTTGAGAAATTCGTTTGATGTATCGAGAAACACTTGATGCCTCCAGCATTGTGTGTCAACAGAATAAAAATGCAAATGGTTCTTATTCATATTCATAAACTGTATTTTCAGCGGGAACCTTTACTTTAATATTCTTGTGCCACGTACGTATATGCAGAATGATATATCTTCTTGATATTGATGCAAGGTTAACAAAACGAGCTTCCGAATCACAAAGTCACGAGTATTAATATCACAGATCAGTTTACGGTATGAGAGACGTCGTTATAGAGAAGATTTGCAACCGCGATGCATTTCACCAATTTCCTTCCTGCTTTCTTTTCATCATAATCTTTTGTCTGCTACTGTATAATCGGATTGTTTGCCACTTTCGTTATTGTTACTCGTTGGATCCCCAAGCGGTCCTTTCCGCCGACTTAGCGATTACGCGATTCCGAAATTTTAATCGGCTTTTGCTAGTCGAGCACTTTGGTCATTAACTCCGTGCAGAACAATCACGCTAAAGCGTAAAATATTGCCGACAAAAGGGGAAAATGGAGTTCATACCTCGAGGAGTTAATGTAATACAGACGAATGCGTTTATTTATCGACTTCCGCATTCCGTATGAAAAGCTCTACCGTTACGGCCGACACTATTGTGCTCCGTTCCGAGCCAATGCCTCATGATAAGACTTTACTAACAAAGATCAACGGACACCCAGGCGAAAGTAAAATATCGGGCATACCGATCGTCTCCGCCGTTTCGACCATTTGTAACCTTTATCGTAGATCAATTCACTCCCGTGAATATCATTCCCGACGGTACGAGGCCGAGCCGTCGGGACGGCAAATAAATGTACTTTAACGTACAGCGAGCCAAGTATCAGTCAAAGTTTAACTGTCAAGGGGAAGGAAACGGTGGATTTTAATAACGGACGCTCCGATACGGAATGTTAAGTGTGTTTTTGATTCGCATTTTTACAAGACATGGGAATACATTTTTAGGATTCGTAGTACAATGTTGTCCCCTTCGGATTTTATTGTTTAGATTGATGAAGGTGCAAGTCCCTATTTTATTCTAAATTCGACAAACATAGATCCGGTTGTCCATCGACGTCACCAAAAACAACAAATATATCGCTGAGAATATTTTCTAAAAACGTTGGACCGAAATGTTGCGATAAAGACTAAATTCAGACGTGTCCAAAAATTTCGACGAATTTTTCTTGCATTCGATTCTGCCATTGATTTGAAGATCGGAGTCTCTTCTTCGCAACGACACCTTAAAACTTAACGTACGGTTTTCATTTGCTGTTTTATGGAAGAGAAATCGAGAACAAGTTTTATACTGTAAAGACGACAGTACACTTCTTTCAAATCTCGATGAAACGACTAAACAAAAGAATCATATATAAAACTTTCGGAAGCAATAGTCTCGAATTTCCATGTTAAATTATGTCACGGAAAACAATTTTCACAACTTTGATTATTAATATATATTAATATAACATAATTATATAATAATTGTATATTAATATAATGTTGTGTCAGACTCGTTAAAACGTAATCGACTAAACGTGGACGTTACTCACCTCTTTTAAACCAAAATCATATTTTACTCATCTATTTTCAATATTTAAAAGTTAAGAAAAAGGTTGACATGCAATGAATTAAATTGTTTTTCGTGTAGGGATTTATTGGAAACGAAGAATTGCGCTGATCAACCGGCTGTGGATGAAATCGTAGGTCAAGGGGTTACCTCTAGTTTCTTAAAATTGGCTTTATTTTTTATTTCGCTTCGAGTTTCGCGGTTTAATAATAATTTGAACGGCGCAGATAAGAATACAGGATGACGATGATGGAACGATGGCATTCGCGCGACGCGGCGAATGTTCCATGACATCGATTAGGCGCGTTATAAAGTAGGAAGAATTCGGCGTCGGGCATAAAAGAAGCGGATCGTTCTGACGAAAGATAAAATAAGCAAGAAAACGCGGACGAACCCACGAGAAGCAGTAAAGAGCTGTCAGCGTCAGGATTTGCGTAGGAAATACCTGCGGCATTGAACGAGAATGACAAATTCGTCAATACCGTTCTTGCGTCGACAATCGTGTCCTCAAAATTCTTTATTTTTAAGTATTCCGCTTTTCATTCGTAGCGGGATGCTCTTGAAAGCCTGTCACCGAAGGGTATCCTGAAATTTAAGCGAATTTGTCGTTGGCCGTGTGCTTGTGCGCCCTGTGCAATCATTTTTGCATTAAATTTCCACGTCCCATAGAAATTGCAATGATTGTCCCAAGCATTCGAAACTCCATAAGAGCAATTGAATGAAACTCACCTATTATGCTTCGACGCTGAGTACCGTGGAAGTGGTCGGCTGAAAAAATCCAAAAAATGTCCCAACGAACCATTAAATACATACACGGAGGCGCGTACAGTACGGTATATAATTATCTGGGCAGTACGTATTTCACGTTTGGCTCCACTTTGGCCACACGGTTGGAAAAATCCCGTTCTCGTTGACACAAATCATTTTATCGCGAGTCTTGATCGCTGGGTGTTAAACGGTATCAAATTTTTACGTGTCGAGTCGAATAGTACAGAAATTCCGATAGCGAATGACACAGGTCAAGAATTATTTCAGTCGCGCGTTACGATATTACAGTGATAAAACGGAAGCGCGATCTACTGCAAGAATGATTTTATCGCTGTTTATTAAACAGTGCAAATGCGATGCTTCGTGTCTGACGATGCTGGAAATCGCTGCACACGATGTAATTTAATTCGTGTTTTATAATAGAGTGTAATCGAATCGCGCTTGGAGTGCTCGGTAGTTTTGCGGGGAACTGTACGCCGCGACGGTCTAGCGTCGAGCTTATCATGCGAAATAATTTTGTTTTTCGAATGTAACACTCCGGCGTTCGGAACTTTTGAAGTCGTTCGAATAATTATGAGAGGTGGCGTGTACGTGGGGCCGATTCAAACGTGGAATTCCCTGTTTTTATCTGTTCGAAATGGCGGACACACGCGAGGTAAAATCGGGCGCGATATTAAAGCCCCCTCTAACAACGAAAGAGTACTAGAACAAAGTGTGACAGTTAAACAACCAAACCGTAAAAATACTTCACAGTTAACGGCCCGGAGAGTGCGAAATATTTATCTTGTTTGCGTACTTCATAAAGACTCTCGTGCTTTTCCGTTCCGTTCCGTGTAGATCTATTTAAAAACTGTATCGCACAATCATCGATTCCGTCCGGGATAAAAATCTGGGTGTATATTTTGCAGCGTGTATCAATTCAGCCGATCCGGAAGAGTCACTCGAAGTTGTAATACTTGATTTCTCCCGATTGTGTAATCATTCAAAGATCGAGTGAATTGGTACGTGGAAATTAATCGGGAGACCATCGTGTTTCTCATTTCTGTAATGAAAAGCATTTTTATTAATTTATACATTCATTTTTGTTGGTACTTTATCGACTTCCTTAATTGTCAAACGATACGCTGACTTTCACTTTCGTTGCAGAAATTAGCGCTGCTTTTTCGAACTGCAGTCGGTGTAGAAAATATTTGTACAACTTTTAATCGGTGACCTTAACACGAGCTGTCGAAATTGTAGATCGCGAAAATCACAGTTTTCCACGAATTTCAATCGAAAACTGGTAATTTTTACATGTTCGAGTGGCTGTATTTCGATTTCAATGAAAGTTTCGACATGTGCATAAATTACCAAGATCTACGAAAATTAATTTTTCAAAACCAATAGCAATTTCTGAAATCAATTTTTTAGTCCGAATTATGAAAAAGTTATTCCGTTTTAAAAGGTGTACGAATACTTTGCACACCGACTGTATATATTTCGTCATTTCCTCTGGAAAGCAAATTGGAAATCCCGCACTGTATTCGCAACGGGTAAGATCCCCTCTGTGCGATCGTGAGCGCTTTCAAATCCGTTACATTGACGGAAAAAAATATTGTAGCAATAGCAATTTTTAAACCGGATCACATTTCGTTTAAAAAAAAACAGTATCGTGTTTCGCGGAATTTCACGTTACGGTCTTAATTTCATTCGGGATATGAATTTTGAAATATATCAAGAATTTCATAACCTTAGAAAAATTGCTGAAAATAATCCTTTTAGCATCCTTTTGCCATTTTCATTCGCGGTATCATTTTATTTTATTTTGCAGCAACGATGTTAATGGCGTGAAGCAGCAACAATTGGAAGCACAGTTTTTCCAATATTATTGAAGAAGATATTTTAATTATCGTAGAAACGATGTTAAGAATAAAAGTTATCAAAGATTTAAAGTTCATTAAGAATACATTTGTCTAACATATACTGTATTGCTTTCAATTTCATTGTTTGTAAAAAAATAACAATCTAAATACCAAAATCAAGAAAGAAAAATAATTGTGTACTTATTACAAAACCATAGTCGTTGGAATTTAAAAAATTCAATTATTTTCAATTTTACACATTTGCAAAACGCAAGAAATACCAGACAGTTTTTGCTATCTAAAATTTTTAGAAATATTCATTATTAGTAATTGTCTTTTTTATTTTCTAAAGGAATAGACTGTGCAAGCACTTATTTACAAGGAAAATTTGGCAACCCGGAAATTTAAAAAAATATGAAATTTCGTTTATAGGTAGAGTAAGTCATCCGTAACACACACCTATTTTTCGTTCCTGCCATAAATCACTTTTAAGGGGTGATTTCAGCCCTTAAAGAGAATGCAAAATTATCTTTTTCGTTGAATATCTCAAGAACGATGCGAGATATTGAAAACAAGTTTAAACAAAAGTTGAATGTTATTTTTATATTTAGGAGAATGTGTAAAAAATTTTTTCAAAAATTCAATATTTTTTGAGTTATCTCTTTCACCATTCCTCAAATTTCATTTTTTGATTTTTTTAAATTTAGGTTAGTGTTTTTCGGTACCTCATATCCATTCTTCTAAATGGCTTATGTTATAAATATTTTTAAAAAAATAAATAAAGCGTCTATTATCGAATTTAAAGTCTACTGTAACATTTTTATTATTAGAGTGGTTTCGTAACAGATAACTTACATTATCAGTTACATAAATTGCAGATTGTAAAATGAAATTCGATGAATTAATTGATCACGTGTACGATTCGTAATAGCAGCACACACAGACACGTGTACATGCATCTTACCTGAAGATTTGCACGAACGCAATGAAATTATCAAATTACAGTCGCTTATCCACCACTCTGCTGCGTCGACCTATTTTTAAGATCAATTTTGTATGCGTTTTATCGATCACACTGGATGCAGTTCCTTTCGGTAAATTATTCTAGAATTATTCTAAAATGTACGAAATTCATGAATATGTTCCACAAATATCTTAACCTAAATCGTGGAAGTATTTTTGTTGCAAGTTGTAAAATTACCATTTCCTTATGACGTGTGTTCGTCATAGGGAGTTCACAAGTTTATCACAAGTTCCATATTTTAACCCATTTAGCTGTTGATATTGTGCGTTACTGGGAAAAAGAAGAGTGCGAAATGTAAGTATATAAGAGTCCTTCTTTTTTATTATTCTTGTTATTAAAGACTCTCTCACTTCACAAAATATTTTTTCCACTTAAAATCCTTACAAATCTTAAAACAAAAAAAGGTAGTACACCTTCAAGAACAGAAACAGACATAAAAGTTTGTCGTTTCATTACAATGTATTCCAATTTTACTCGCGATCGCTACAAAATAATTCAGAACATAGGTGCACACTTTATAAAATACGTTCCATACAGAATTATCAATTGCAAATCGATATGTCTTTATCAATAGCGATGTAACGAAGGTTCGTTTAAATGTTCAAATATTCGCACTAAGTCTCAGCAAATAATTATCAGCACGAATGAAAACAAAGCAACCCGAAGCAATCCGCTTTCGCGTTAACAAATCATCAAACAAAGCTCCTCCGCCAACAAGTCAAACTTCCAATCAGTCGAAAAGAAACAAGCGAATGCCGGATATTCTCAAACTTCCCAAAAAATCATCCACCAACCGAACTGTCGCCACTTACCAAGTTGCACGAATCCTCTCACCGGTCACCAACGCAAACAATCACCTTCCATTATTACCCGAGTGTCAGCCGCGGAACGACACCCCTCGAATCCACTGCCCCCCTCCCCCTCACCCAACCACCACACAGAGATCCATCCCCCCCGAGCACACAGGTCGAAAGGGTTGAACCCGTCCAAGTGAAGTGAAACGTAGAAGGAGATTCGCGGTGCGCACGATA